TCACACCACTGCATTCCACCCTGGGTGGCAGAGTGAGACTCTGTCTCAAAACAATAAAATAAAATAAAATAAAATAAATAAAATAAAAGGACAATACCATTAGCTCAGAGGGTTTGGTTGGGAACATTAAACGAGATAATAAATGTAAATGTAAAAAACCCTGCCATATATTAAACATTCAATAAAGGGTCACACCTGTAATCCCAGCACTTTGGGAGGCTGAGGCGAGAGGACCGCTTGAGCTCAGGAGTCTGAGACCAGCCTGGGCAATGTAGTGAGACCCTGCCTCTACAAAAAATTTAAGAAATTTAGCTGGGCGTAGTGCTCATCTGTGGTCCCAGCTACTGAGGAGGCTGAGGTGGGACAATCACCTGATCCTGATAGGTCAAGGCTGCAGTGAGCCACGATCATGCCACTGCAGTCTGGGCAACAGAGCGAGACCCTGTCTCAAAAAAAAAAAAAATGGTTTAGGTGATAGAGAAGGATTAGAGAGCTACTTTAGGGAGTGTGGTCAGGGCTTCTTCAAAGAGATGACATATAAGCTGACAGCTTAGTGACAAGGAACTAGCCGTGTAAAGATCAAAGGACACACCTTTTTTCTTTTTTTTAAGACAGAGTCTCACTGTTGCCTGTTGCCCAGGCTGGAGTGCAGCAGCGCAGTCTCAGCTCACTGCAACCTCCACTTCCTGGTTTCAAGCCGGGAGCTTGCCTTGTGCCTCAGCCTCCGAAGTAGCTAGGACTACAGGCGCCTGCCACCACGCCCAGCTAATTTTTGTGTTTTTAGGAGAGATGGGGTTTCTCCATGTTGACCAGGCTGGTCTCACACTCCTGACCTCAAGTGGTGCGCCCACCTCGACCTCCCAAAGGGCTGGAGTTACAGGTGTGAGCTACCGCGTCCAGCCAAAATGTAGATTTTAGTTGATTCCTATTAGATAATGTCTAATAGGAATCTTATTTCTTGTGCAGTGGTGTGGTCATGGCTCACTGCAGCCTCAACTTCCCAGGCTCAAGGGATCCTCCCACCTCAGACTCCTGAATAGCTGGGACTACAGTCACACACCACCATGCCTGGCTAATTGTTTTATATTTTTAATAGAGACAAGGTTTCGCCATGTTGCCCAGGCTGGTCTAAAACCCCTGGGCTCAAGCGATCTGCCTGTGTCAGCCTCCCCAAGTTCTGGAATTATCATGCTCAGCTAGGAGTCTTTTTTGTTGTTGAGATGGAGTCTTGCACTGTCGCTTAGGCTGGAGTGCAGTGGCGCAATCTCAGCTCACTGCAAGCTCTGCCTCCCGGGTTCAAGCAATTCTTCTAACTCAGCCTCCCAAGTAGCTGGGATTACAGGCGCCTGCCACCACACCTGGCTAATTTTTTATGTTTTTTTAATAGAGACGGGGTTTCACTATGTTGGCCAGGCTGGTCTCAAACTCCTGACCTCGTGATCCACCCACCTTGGCCTTCCAAAGTGCTGGGATTACAGGCGTGAGCCACCCCACCGCAGCCACCACACCCAGCCCCCACTGCCCCCACTTTTTTTTTTTTTGAGACAGAGTCTCCCTCTGTCACCCAGGTTGGTGTGCGGTGTGGCGAAATCTTCGCTCCACTGCAGCCTCCGCCTCCCGGGTTCAAGTTATTCTCATGTCTTAGCCACCTGAGTAGATTACAGGCATGTACCTGCCACCATGCCTGGCTTTTTTTTTTTTTT